AAAAAGCTGCTTACGCTCTTGCAAATAGCCCTTCTTGGATGAAATTCTTTTCAACAAAATCTTATATATATTAAATTAATTTTATTTGGAATTGATTATTGCTCTACCACAGTTAGAACTTTTTTTTCTAATGTTCTTATCGTAAGTCTTCCTTCTTAATCGTTCTATTTTAATAAAGTAAGACTCCCTAAAATTCTTTATTCCGATTTTAATGCATAAGCTTATCCAGCTCGAAAGATATTCATCTTCCCAGCGCGAAACTCTATCAAATTACTCTAAACTATTCGTTACTAAACTAACTCTAAACTTTATTAAACTATTATTAAGTGAACGATTTTTCACAACAGACTTCTTTCTCGACTTCAAAATTTCCATGAGTTACTTGACATTATAAGACAGATTTCAATATTATTTGCTATCCACATTCCAAATGCTGTCTTAAACTTGGAATCCGCTGAAACGAAAGACTTAAGCAACAAACTCGGCACAAACTTGCCGCCTTCGCCGGCATTTACACCTCGCATCGCACATAAGGCCTGCGAAATAAGTCACCTTATCAACATATTTTTCTTAATTAAAACAAAAATCTTCGATATTTTAAAATGATTGTAATTTTTCCTTAAACTTTATAAAATGACCGTTTAAATTCAGTTTAGTAATATTTAAGAAATTAAAGGAAACTTTTTTAAAAATTAAATGAAAATTTTTCCGAACGAAATAATTGAACTGATCAAATTCAAAAAACTATATTTATATCTCGATTTACTTGTGTTTTTAGCGGTAATTGTTTAGATATGTCCTCCATTACTATTAATTACTCTTAACATGCGATCTGGCATTGAACTAACCAAGTTTTGAAGAAGTGATCCGTCCAATTTGGCCCACTCTGTTACGATTGCTTCTTTTAATTCTTTCAAGGATCTAAATTGTCTGCCATGCATGTAAACCTTACTGGAAAGGATTCCCCAAAGGTTCTCTATGGGATTAAGATCTGGACTTTTTGCAGGCCACATCAAAAGTGGTATTTTTTTATCCTCAAAAATTGTTTTGTGCGTTTTGAGACATGGATTGGAGCATTGTCCTGCTGGAATGTCCAATAATCTCCACACATTTCTTCTCCAAAATGAATCAGGTTTTCGTCCAATAGCTCTACATAGTTTTCGGAGTTCATTTTATGTGAGACAAAGCATATAGGACTCTTTCCAGCAAAGCAAAATGCAGCCCACACCATTAGCGATCCTCCTTGAAAATTGCGCGACACTTTCATTTGTTTGGGGGTCCTGAGGTCACGATAATAATATTGATACCCATCTGGTCCATCTAAATTAAATTTTTTTTCATCATTGAAAATAATTTTTTTTCACTATAGGTCCCAAAACTTTGCATCTCTGCAAAGTGCATGCGGGCAACTTTGTGCCGAGGAAGTAGTTCACATTTGACGGTTTTTTTTTCATATGAAATGAATTGATCGGCTCGTAAAATTTGTTGCACGCGACGTTTTGACACTGAGAGATCCAGTTCCTGACAAATTTCGCCTGCGCTCAGGTTTTATTTGAGTGCTAACGATTTTATTCTCCTCTTATGCGATTTTGTACCAATGGCGGGCGACCGGAGCGTGGCTTTTTTCCGTGGTGTTCGGGGTCTTTCAAAAAAGCTCCTTTGTATTTTGGAAGCAATTTCACGTAAGGGCATTCCAGTTTCTCGATATGCTAATATTTTAGCTCTTTCTTTATCAGATAGGTAACGGCCTTGATGCATTTCTACTAAAATTATGGTTAATTATAATCTGATCTAATATTCTAAGCCTGGATTAAAGTCAAAACTCACTTATTTAATATTTTAAATTATAAATCCCAAAATTTTGATGAAAATGGCCCTTGAATGCACTGGTACAATGACAAAAACTGATTTGATCAGCTCAATTATTTCGTTGTGTAAAGAGAGGCAGCAGCAATTTTCGATAGAAATAACGGTAGTAACAACGGATTTCTGCTTCTCCTTACTGTTTTAAGCAAGAGAATTAGATGAAAGCAAACTATGCAAAAAATGAAATGGAAAACATAAATGGTAAATCTGTGGCATTACGTTATAAGCATGATAAGGTGACTTATTTCGCAGACCTTACATTTAAATGAACATGCGATTTCACGCCTCAGTACAACAAAATGTATCTTCAACTCATAATTCATGCGGTTCAATAAAAACAAATGCTGCATAACAAATGACCCAGTAAGGCGGCCCCGTACTTACATGTGTACATAGGACCATCGGGCAATAAAACGAACACCTCAATGTCTACGTCACTGGCGGCAGTTGTTGGTATTGTTATTGGTGGCTTGGCGTGCACGTTTTGTATTGAAGACGTATCGAAATTTAAAGAGCAATTCATAGGCACAAATGGGCATAATAAATAAAGCCATCACTGGGCACAAACAAATGCTAGTGCTGTGTTGATGCCCTTTGAAAAGGTTCCACAAATTGAACTAATAGTTAAATTTCCTACAAATTTTATAATAAAAGTGAAGCCAACGAAATCATTGCGAACCTGAAGACTTTTGGTCTCATTTTTTATTATCAATTTTCTTTTTTGAGGTATGTATTTTGAAATATAACTCCAAAATAACCCAATTATTGCTAGTTTGTTTTTCTAAATAAGTCAAGTAATTGAAAAATCAACCATTCAATTCAAATAATCAATTCAACTGTTTGAGTAAACTAAACTACGAAGAATTATGTTGGGCTGTTACTCACTTCCTCAGAGAGTTTCAAAATATTTGATTGTATTTTAATAGTATTTCTCTGAGCCTTACTTTGAACCAAATAAAGCAGATCAGACATCACAAAAATATGAGCGAGGCAACATCTTTATGGCTGTACTCAGCATTATAAAATGGTTTTGCAAATAAAATCCACAATGTTTCTACAGAGAAGAAAGAATGCAGAATTCTGACACTGTAAACCATAGAACTTGTTTCCATTTTTGAACCGAAATGCCCAGCTCTGGCGAGTGCAGGGTATTAGTGGTGAGCGGCCCCACGGTGCTGTCAAGTTGTGGCTATTTATGCATCGATTTCGTTTCGTTTCGTTTGCTTTCATTTGGTGCTCGTATTGTGCCCTGAGTCGAATTTCTGTCCACTCATGTGGCAGCAATTAATCAACATTTTGGCAGCTTGCGTCAAGTACCGTTGTCTAATTTACCAGACGCCACAATTCTATATATATATATATACTCGTAGGTACACAATTAGTAAGCACTCATTGCGCATTTTTTTCATAAATTATTTTATTTATTTTTTGTGTTTTTTTTGTTGTGGATTTGCCTTTTTTGTTTTGTTTATATTTTTTTGTGATTGCCTTTAAGTTTAATACAATTTTTATTTTTATATTTTTTTTTAAATATGTAAAGTTACTTTTGTATTTCCTTTTTCTTTTTTATATTCAACTATCAATATGGCCAATTACAATACAGTTACAGCTTATGATCATAGATGGTACATTATTACATATATATATATATATTTTTTTTTATACCTCAGACATAAATTAGCGTTAAGACTAAGTTCATTTTCTTTATACACAAATACACAACTTAAAACATTGATTTGTTTTGTTAATTATAAATACTTTTTGCTAAAATTATACAAAAATTGCTAACAAATCGCTTTATCTCTACGTATGTTACAAATTGCCATTAACATTTAGTTTCATATATTTAATTATATTTATATGCATAAGACTTAGGCATAACCATTGAACATTGTTTGTTTGTTTGTTTTTTTTTTTTCTATATTTTTCACATTTTTTATTTTTGTGTGTGTAATTAAAAAGTTAACGCGCCCATTTACTTGCTGATTTGATTTGATTTTCATTTTATTTTACAATTAAACATTATGTAGAGTGTTAGAGTTATGCTTGATTTTATCACGTCTGTTTGTTTAATGTCTAATAATTTAACTAATTTACATTATACATACATACATATACATACACATATAAATTATTGCAATTTACAATTGCAATGTGAAATAGGACAAACATGCTGCTGCTTCACTTTTTACAAAAAGTTTGTTTTTTGTTTCGTTTTCTTTTGTTTTGGACGTGCATTTTAATTGTTAATTTTGTAGCATAGTTATCGTTTGTTAGTTTCTCTGTGCTTCTTTTATTTATGTTTATGTACATGAATATTTATGAAAAATGTTGCTTTTTGGCGCTCTTGCGGGCTGCATTCCCTTAAGTTTTACATTTCAGTTTTATGGCTGCTTCTAATTAAATTAATTAGGCAAATATCAAAATTCACGCACATGCACATTTTGTGCAAACACGTGCGGCAATAAAGAAAAAAAATAAAACAATACAAGTATACGAAAAACTCTCGAAATACTATGTGTAGCCCTTTAATTAATTTTAATGGCTTTTTGTTGCTGCCCGCGCTCGTTGACGAAAAATGAAACGAAAACTTAAATAATTAAAAATTGCACGCAATGTTTACAATTAGGAAAAATTCAGCTTTTGACCAGCACAGACACACACACACACACACTCATACAAACACACAGAAACACATACACACATGTTCTCGGAGCCAGCTATGCGTTGCTCGGTAGCCCGTCAGGGGCTTAGACATTGCCTTTAAGCCTGGCAGACGGCCTAATGGTGAGCAGGTTTGTTCACTTCCTTCCGCCCATTAGACGCGATTTGTTGTCTGTGGCGACGCCGGGATAAGCCTATATAATCCCTCGCCCTGTAGACAAACCGCAACGCCCATGGTTGAGTCTTGAGCCCCTGCCTGTGCCTTGTTAGTGTGGTTCCTGTTGTTGTTGTTGTTGCTGCTGCTGCTCTGGTCAATTTCTGCGTTCGAGTCCTCAGTTTGGCATTGTGTTGTGGTTGTTGTTGGTTGTGTTGCTGCTGTTGTTGCAGCAGCAGCTTGTGGTTTAACTGAAGTCAGACATTAATCCGCTGCCCTAACTGAACAAATTATTATTCAAATTGTTCCCGCTCCATCACGTATAGTCAGTCCGCCAAGTGCCCTGCAAATGCCAATGGGAGAGGAGAAAAACAAAGAAGACGAAATATTAGCAAACATTCTTCTCTTATACATCAGCCAGCTCTTATAAATCAGAGCCAATTGTTTGTGTCGCACTCACCATGGAGCTCAGACCCAAGTGATAGGGCTGGGAGTGCGGCACCACACCGCCCCCCAATGAACCGGCCGTGGAGAAACCACCTTGCAGGCCACTTGAGGCGCCCAATGCGCCCATGCCGCCGGTATACCAGCTACCATGCATGTGCGCATGTGCGGGATGGAGACCGCTGGAAAGGTGTCCGTGTTGTGCTGGAAGGAGCAATGGGAGTGGGAGAAAATGAAATAGTTAGTTCATTGGTCGCTGACTCACGCCGACTATAGTCGATGCTTACCCATCGATGAGAAGCCGCCACCGAAGCCCTTGGACGGATCGAGTGGCTTGAAGTCGCCCATGCCCAAATGACCGCCGATTGGTAGGCAGCCGCCGCCCAGACCCTTTTTCTTCTTTGATTTTGAGCTCAGTTTGCGATTACGCGTCTGTATGCCTTCCTTCTTCATGGTGAGTGGACGATTGACCTGGAAAAGAAAGAACAAATGGCATTGGTAACACTTGGACGATAGTTGCACCTACAATTACAAAAAAAAAAAACAACAACAAGAACAGCTACAGTGCGCTCTCGAAAAATGTTGCTGAACTCTGGCGATTGATTGACTTGGATTTTTGAACTTTTTTTTTTGCCAAGTGTAGTTTGTGCAAACGTCAAGGCGAAAAATCAATAAGTCGCAGCGCTTGTATGTGTGGGTGAGTGTGTATATGTGTGTGTGTGTGTGTGTGTTTGACCATGCGTTGGCACAAAAATGGGTCAAATTTATGCAAATTCACGCTAGCTCTGCCGCTGCCCCTGCCCCTGCCTCGGCCTGGATTGGGTTGGGTTGGGCTGTGCTCGGCACTCTGGCTGTCTGGTTGGCTGGCCGGAAATGCCGCTAACTGCACACGCTGTCTGTTGCACTTACGAGTCTGCCGGAGAGCCAAAGAGTATGAGAGCAAGGGGAAGAGGCGGAGATAGAGGCGGAGGTAGAGGCAATGGCAGCGGTAGCAGCGTGCAGCCCAACGCACCGGGAAGTGAAAATGAAGTATTACAAGCATTTCTACACGATCAGATAAGCGACATTTGCGAATGCGATTAGTTGGCGCTGATAGCAGCAGCACCCAGCAACCAGCACCCAGCAACAACAACAACAACAATGACATAGATGCGTTGCTGCCGCCTGCCCTGCTCGAAACTTTTTTGAGTGCCCGGACCTAGTCTGTGCATATTCTCTGCTTCTTCTTCCACTTCTCGTTTTTGTTCATAAGCACTGGCATTGTAGCAAAAGGAAATAAAGCGCACTGTGCTGTTGTTGCTGTTGTTGTTGTTGTTGCTGTGTACTTCATATGCAATTTCTTATCACTTGCGAACATCTAAGCGGCAGCGCCGCATGCGCTTCATTGCGCTACAATTACAATATTGAGTTACCCATTCCCCCATTCCCCTACCCGATGCGATGCGATGCGATGCGTTGCGATGCCAAATTCGTTTGCCGCGACAAAAGAAAAGTTACATTATGTAGAGCGAGCGGATCGACCAACAAACCGTCGAGCGTGCGCCCTCCAGGTACCTGGGCGTGAATTACGACATTGTTGTACCTTTTTTGCCCAACGTTTGCGATCCGTCGCGACGTCCCGACGTCGGGCTCACAAAACAAACACACAAATTGTTAAATTGCCGGCAATTGTGTGTGTGTGTGTGTATGTGTGTGTGTGTGTGTCTGTGTGTCTGTGTGTGCATTGAGATTTTTGCTTGAAAGGCTGAGTTCCCAGCTATGACAAAAGTAAATTGTGCAATGAGCCGCATGCCGAAAAACACAGAGAATAATACAAAAAAAAAAAAAAAGAAATACAAACGTATCGCTTACAGGGCGCGGGCAACGCCTGATCAGAAACTCAAGCGCCTGGCGTTGACACACACACACACACATACGAGTACACCCATTCGAGCATTATGCCTATATGTGTATAATATACTTAGGGATTTGTGGGCAGGAGGATGCTGTTGCCTCTCTGCAAAATAATTGCTAGCCGTAATTGATAGTCTTGCCCCTAACGTTTAGCGCAAATTGTGGCAATTAGCCGAGGTTGCGAATAAAAGCAGCATTAAGTAGCAACAGCTGTCTTTAGTGCAAGTCCATTAAAACGGCTTAAGCTTTGTGTTTAAACAAATTTAATTGATATGCTGGCGAAATGCATAAACTAAACAAACCATAAAGTTGTTAATTTGCCAGCAAAGCAAAAAATCAACAACTAAAGCAGACAGTTTTAACTCGAAAAACGTGACTGCGAAAGGAAAACGACAAATACCACAATTTTCCTCTACAACTAATTAGCAAAATAATGGCATTAAGTAACGCGTATTACAGAATTAGTTGGAGCGCGATTTAAATGAAAAGCTGCACTATGTCCTTTAAAAATACTCCGCTTAACTAGAGGACATTCGCCGTATCATCTAGGCTTATCCGCTTCCAAATAAAGAATTTACAAATCGTACTAAACCAAACGTTTTAAAGGAAACTAAACAAACATTTTAATTAATTTTTAGTTTGCCTGTGGCTGCGAATATAATTTTAAGAATATTTACGCTGGCAAAAAAGTACTTGAATACTTGAAAACATTTGTTGGCCGTTACAAGAATATGTTTTGGAGAATTATATAAGCTAATAGCGACCGATATAATAGAATCAATGAAACATTTTTGTAAGCAGCATAAGTCCCATCCTTGTTAAACGTTTCACTGGAGAAATTTAATATGCACTTTAATGAAGTCACACTGTAGGCTTTTGCACTGCCAGAGCTGCCATGCCGTGCTCATTAAGAAATTCAAAAGAATTGTGGAGCGCACACGACGCTACCAGCTTAGCATTGGACCGACTTGGAGCTGGAGCTGAGCGGCAAGATATTTATGCATAAAATCTTAATCGAGCATGGCAGGCGAACGCGCGCCGCCTCAGCGCCCGACTTCATAAGCGTTGCAGTTGACTTGGTTTCTGACAGGCAGGCTGTTGCTCACTGAATGCCTCTGCCTCTGCCTTGGGATCGGCTGGCTAGCTGGCTGGATGGGTGGGTGGGTGGTCGCAGTGCAGAGCTCATTTGGGCAGCGAGCTGAGACAAACGCGTTGCCTGTTGTGGCTAAATTGACTGTGACATGTTGCACTGGTTGTGGCGCCACTCAGCCAGCTACCAGCTACCAGCTGACCTAACGGTGCCTTCATGTGCACCTTTCGACCGCTGCTGACATTATGAAATAATACCCATACACGATACGGACACACACACACACACACAGGTACACCCGCATTTATCATTGCGACGCCACAGGACACTCACTCACCAGCACACCCGCACCCGAGAGAAAGGCGTTCGAGACAAGTGCACAGCAGGATATCAGAAAATATATGTGCATGCATGCCTATCCGGATAGGGCTGGCAGAACTGATAAACTGCCTGCGATAGCCGGCAACGGCGGCAATTGTCTCATTTGCTCTTAATTAACATGCTGCTGATTTCTTTTTTCCATGAAAAGTGCGTCAAGACACGCAGCCAAAAATACCCAATTCCCCCTCCCCTCCAACCCGCACTGCCACCTTTCCACACTCTCTCATTCGGCCCGCTGGGAAATGTTGGGAAGTGCAGCGGGCTAAAATGATTTCGTACGCAAATAGCAAGCATTTCCATAAAACGCCAATCAGATGCCGATCGCAAAAGGCCCACACACACACACATCTGACAGCCTCACAATTCCACGGAATGATGTTAGTCTGTATGTGTGTGTGGTGAGGAGAGGAAGCGAAGTGGAGGGGCTCCGCAGAGAGACAGTTGTGGAGCGTGTGCAGTGACGGTGGCGGCCAAATGACAAGCGAATTGAATTGAAATGAACTACTGCCAACAAATGCAGCCCCAGCAGCAGCAACAACAACAACAAAAACAACTGTGTGCTTGTGTCTGTGCAGTGCAAGCGCGCTGATTGGCATCTTATCAAGATGGGACACTGTCCAATTGAAAGAAAATTTTTGCAAAATAAATTTCGCGTCTATGAGTGTGTGGCATATATAAATACAAGTACATTCATCTATCTGTATGAATATATTAGAGTACTGCAGTAGTTAATTTTTCAACCAAGTGCATGCTGAGTGTTTCATTTTTATCTCGGTTTGGCCTTCAACAATACTAGCTTTATTCATTCATCTATCTATATGAATATATGTATTAGATCACTGCATTAGTTAATTTTTAAAACATGTGTATAGTGAGTGTTTCATATTTTTCTCTGTTTGGCGTTCAACTATACTATATTCAGCTGTGGATTCTGTTGTAATAAAATATATGTTTTGATCCTGTTTTTACGCCTTTCACTAGAGTCAGCTTTCTGTTGTTATATAAATTAAAGTCTTAAATTTTCGACTCAATTAAAGTTATCAATTTCGTCTTTATTCATTCATCTATCTGTATGAATATATTAGAGTACTGCAGGAGATAATTTTAAACTTGGCTTTAAATAATAATATCTTCAGCCGTGGAATCTGTTGTAATAAAACATAAGTTTTGATTCAGCTTGTACACTTTAAAGTACACATTTCATTTTCGACTCAATTTAAGTTATCAGCTTTCGCTTTTAAGCTAGCTTATAAGCAACAATATTTAAACCAAATATGTACATGCGTATAGAGCGTGAGGTGGAAAACTCAAAGTCCTATGATTCACTCGACACCATTGGCAACCAAATGAAGTCACTCATGCCGGGGTCTTATACGTTTGTATGTATGTGTGAGTAACTACAGTTGTCAGCTAATAGCCCAGCTATATACACAGGCTTCATTAAAATGCCACCCAATGTGCCGCCGCTGCGGTTTTTTGGCGCGTTGCTCATACGCCGCATTGTACGTGCGCAATTCTTTTTTCTTTTGCCACTGCACTCGCTTGTTTACAGCAAACTTTACAAATCAGATAGCCTGCCCTGACACATGCTCACAAGTAGTTTGTGGCCTCAAGTTTGGTCCGGTCGCTTTGATATTTTCTATATATATACGAGCACATATATATCATCTATTTTTCTTGTTGCTGCTTGCTACGCTCAATTAAAATATTTTGCCTTTTCTGATAGTCATCGATTGCAGTTGAACTTTTGAGCACGCCGCCATGCGTGGCACACATACACACTCGGATACTGTTTAATTAGTTTGCCAACACACTCGCAGACATATTCATGTACAGGTGGCCCATCATTTGACTGACGCTGGCGGCAAAGTTCGAGCAGCTCGGCCACTGACATGTAAATGTGCCAAACTGACTAGGAAGCCATTTTTCCCCTCATTTTTTTTTTTTTTTTTTTTTTTTAAATGACGCAAAAGTTTGCGACAAAACTTTTTCTCATTAAAATAAAATGCCTGTCGGTAAACGAGAGGGAACAAAAATAAAGGAAAAGGAAAGGAAAAAGTGCAGGTCTAAGTAGCTGGCATGTTGAAGTGTTTATGTTCTAGCCTAGGTTTGGGTTTCGTTTTTCACTCTCTTTTTGTTCAGGGGGAGTAAAAAGCTAATGAATATTTAATAAGCGAGTCGTTTGCATAAACAAAACAAGCAACCCACCCTTGCAGGATATACAGCCCACATTTTTAACTTTTTCGACCGCTCCACACAAATGATTAACAATGCGTGGCAGGAAGAAAAATGTTATTAAATTTAGTTTCCACTTGGCTCGGCAGCATCATCATTGGCCAACTGAATAGCCGAGTGAGTGAGTCGGTCTATTACATAAATTACGCCAATTTATGGCAGCCACTCCCCCCGCTGCCTGGTGGCATAACAAAATCAAAGCTTATCGCATTTTCACAGCCAAACACCAGACGCTTATCTTATCGAGCAGCGAACAGCAGCAACGGGTGGCGGGCATCTTTAAATAATCATCAACAATTCATCATTGTGCGAAGGCCGAGGGTGCAACCTGCGAGCATGCCGCCCCCTGCCTGTCTGTCTGCAAAAGCACGCCCTGATCTGTACGCTTCCGACTCGACACAACAACAACAACGGCAACAACGGCAACGGCAACGACGTCGACTTCATTTTTGTCACTTTTAATCTGTATGTGCTTTCCGCAACGACGGCATCATCGTCATCGCTGGGTGGTGAGCTTCCGGTTCAGTTTTCACAGCATACTTTCTGGAAAAGAGCGCTGCGAGCGTCCCTGGGCCACACGCTCGAGTGCGCTGAGCCGAGCGCATGTTAAATGTTGCGTTAAATCGCTTAAGCGTTTAACGAGGGTTAAGCGCGAGGATTTGCTGCTGGAGCAGCCAGTCTCGACCGACGATCGTAAATCGATGCGCTATCATTAAACTAACATCAGCGTCATCTATACAAGTATACTATAGTGTGATGGGGTGACTTGCTCAAAATTTGCTTTATATGTAAAGCTGACCCAACGGCACGCAGACACATCTCTGAAACGGCTTAATGCGCTAATAGTTCCGCTGCCCCGTTGTTTTATGGGCGCCACACGTCACACTTCTTACCGGAAAGAGTCAATGCTCAGATTTTTGTACAGACAATTTCTCTACTATATGTATGTATGTATGTACTATATAACATTTGAATAGAATTGTATTTTACTTACATTGTGCAGCTTGTAGTAGAGACCGCAGGCATTGCAGACAGGCTCGCCGCTGGCATTACGTCGCCAAAGGGTTGTGGTTGTGGTTTTGCAGTTCGCACACGATGTTCCCGCACGCTTCGCAGCGCTCTGTAGTGACTGCAGGGTCTGCAACGCAAAGGGAGAGAGAGAGAAAGAAAGATAAATCGGAAAGTTAGTCAAGTGTATAAAGCCAAAATTGATTATGCTAATGCCGCACGCCCACAAATATGTTGGCGCGCTAATTGAACGGTGCCAAAACTAACGCATGATCAGGCAGTCGGAGTAGGGCCAGCGGATTGCGGACAGCGGACAGCAGACAGCCAACAGCTTCAGCTAAAGAGTCAACAAAACAAGCAGCCAGCAAGCCAGCCAGACAGCCAGCCAGCCAGATAGTCAGAAAACAAAGTTGCTCGACAAACACACAACAACATTTTTTAAATGCGTGTCTGTGGCGACGACATCGCATACCAAGCCAGGAATGGAATGGGGGAAAAAAAAGGGATAACTCCACTCAAGTTTAGTTAACAGCAGCATCAATTCATTAAAATGACAATTTTTACAAAACTGCCCGAAAAGAAACAACAAAACAAGAAACAACCGCACGTCTGCTCCAAAGCAGGCAACGCGCCACGCTTAAATTTCCACGAATTGGCTACAAGAACTGAACCCAAGTCGCAGCTACGTGCAGCAGCCGAGTTGCCTGAGTTGGCTGAGTTGGCTGAAGAGGCCCAAGCCATGTCCACAGACAAGCTCTTCAGCTGAAGCTGAAGCTGGAGCTGGGCATATTGCCTTGCTTTTGGGGCTGGGGTACAGCACAGAATATTTCACGCAATTACCCAGGCAGCCCAAAAGCTAAGCAAACTACAGTGGAAACTCCTTCAATGATATTACAAGGAAATTTATTTTAATAAAGCTATTGAAAGACGATGACAGATAGTGTGAAACATGATTAACATGATTAACTAAGAGATATCTCTGGCAGAACTAAGTCTGGGCTTTTATTAAAGTCTATCTGAAGTTAATTATAGCATAGACTTAAAATTCTCCCAAAATGTTTTTGTGATGCTTGAAAGAGTTGTTGCTAATTTTTTTGCTGAGATGATGATGTGCTGTCAGCAGCAGAATTATGCATTTCATTAGTAGGGCATTCTTATCTGATACCCTTGGCATTCATTATAGAAGAGTTGAACTGTACTTCGATCGCGATCGCTTGGGCATCTTTGTTTTGTTTCCCCATGTTCATGTTGCTCGTACAACACATTGCTACGAGGCCTTAAACTGGCGTTGATCATGTTTGACTTTGATTTTTAATTGTTGCCTTATATTCTGCCTACCAATGGCCGCTGAAGACCTCGTGGCAACTTCATCGACAACAATTGAGCTCAGTGGCTCACCTGTTCTTGTCTTGACTTCATGTTGTTGTTGTTGTTGCCGTTGTCGTTGCTGTACTTCTTTCTGCCTGCCTGGCGTATTAACATAAATCAGAGGTCATATCGGGGCTTTGGCTATAAGTTTTGCCTGAGCTGCAGCGGTTTTTGTTGCAGATTTTGGTGGCACTGTGTTGTGTTAACGAGCTTGTAACAATTTTGCGTACACTTCGAGCAACTTGCACAAGCAGCTGGGCAGGCTCTACAGTTTAAGTTCGCCTGATCGTCGTCAGATCGCCTGACTGCCTGACTGGTCCAGTAGTTGTCTGTGTTGTCTGAGAAAAGTGCGAAACTCAAAATTAATTTCAACGCCTACAAACTTGCCGCGCACTGCAAGTGTTTCTCACTGTTGATGTTGTTGTGGTTCAGTTGTAATCGTAGTGTCGTTGTTGTTGTTGCTGTTGTTATTTGTATTTCTGTTGCCGGAATGCGACTGCATTGGTAATTATGTGTAGTCCATGAAGAGAAGTTAACGCAACTGCCTTTTGGGCCTGACAACAACTGACAACATGGCCAAAATGTATATAAATTAAGTTGTTAACATGACAATGCGACAAAACACTCTTACAGCAGGGCAGTCGGAGAGACACAGTCAGCCAGCCACAGCCAAATTGAAGTCAGATTCTTAACCCCATAATGGCTTGATTTCCAATTAAAGCCAATTAACATCACACAACATTTGGCCACAAAATGAAATATTCCTTAGGAAGTATTACTTGAATTTGTTGATCGAGTTGATATAATAGTATTTACTTGTACTAGCCCGAAGATTTAAATGATCATATCCAAACACTTAAAGACTTGACAATTTTTAAACGAAGAACAAGTGTGTGCTTTTAAAAATAATTAATTTTAGGATGAAAAAACGGTTAAAAGTCATACGAATTAAATTAATTTGAAAAAATCGTTATATAAATAATATTGAAATAATATATAGAAATTACAACAAGCAAAAAAAAGTAAAAAAGTGTTTTATGAATATCATAATTTTACTACGCTCTTCTGAAGGAATTGAATAATCTAATAGGCACTACGTTTTTATACCCTGTACCCGTAGGGTAAAAAGGGTATATTAGGTTTGTGCAAAGTATGTAACATACAGAAGGAAGCATCTCCGACCCCATAAAGTATATATATTCTTGATCAGCATGACGAGAGAAATCGATCTAGACATGTCCGTCCGTCCGTCTGTCCGTCTGTCCGTCCGTCTGGATGAACGCGAGGATCTCAGAAACTATAAAAGCTAGAATAACCAAAGTTGGCATCCAGATTCTCCTAGGTCCGAGAAAGGACGAGTTTATTTTATTTTTTTAATTTTCCCCCCCTTCCCCCGCTACAGAATTTCGTCAATAGCGTCCACATTTCAAATGCTACCTAAACCAAACTTTACACACATAATTTATATATAATTGTCTACTGTTGTTCAAAATTTTATTCAATTCGGTCAATTCTAAGAAAAGTTATTAGCGAAACAAATTCTCGCCAGTACAACCCCCACAAACTGCAGCAACCAGTTCGCTCTTCTTCTTCCTCTTTTTGCTGCTGCTTTGGGCGCATATAACTCAGTGACGGAAGTTTACCTGGGTACAGGGTATTACACTGTCGGGCTTGCTCGACTGTAGCGTTCTCTCTTGTTTTGGACTAAAAGCGCATTAAAATCATGGTTTCCAAATCAAAACAATCTTTTCCCTCATCTCACAAAAATAATGTAATAATTGCTTTTGAGGTGGGAAAAATTGCGGCATTTTGGTGCCGCTAATGTTAAAAGGGTTAAGACTCACAGAGTCAGCACGTTCAGGATAACTTCTGCAGCAGTTTCTGGTTGTAGGTGCAAAATTTTCAACGAGTTCGCATGTTTGTATGTCCGCTTGTCTCTCCGGATACCACTTGTATGTTTGTGTGTTCGAGAGTCGGAGACACTACCTCTGTTTATTTATAACATTTTGGAATGAGGCCATTGAAATAATTAGAATGTGCACTGGCTTGAACTGTTAGGCAGGAACTGTTAGTTAACAGAGCGCTGTTGACTGCTGGCGCCGCTAAATTTTGATTTAAATGCGCCCCAAAGCAGACAACAATCAGCGCACATAAATCAATGTCACCCACACATGTGAACACATACAAGTACATACTCGCATACATACTTGTGCAGAGTGAGTGTGTGTGTGTGTGTGTGTGTGTGTGTGTACGTGTGTATTTCATATCGAACTGGGAAAACTTGACAAACTGTCAAACATTGACAGGCGTATTTTAATTGAAATGCAAAAAGCGCAAGCGCCAAAACAAACAAGATGGCGCTTCTGATAAATAACAGTACAATGCAGCACATTGGAAATACATAAAGGCATACATTTAAGCCAGGCACTTATAAGAACCTATGTATGTATGCATGTACTTGTAGGTGTATGTGTGTGCGTGTGTGCAAGTAAATCAATTTTGATTTATAAGTGCGTTTAAGCGCATGACAAAATGCGTTGCGCACTCTTTGGCATATTATGTGGCTTTTGTCATTGTTGTTTTTCTTTTGTAGTCGTCGTTGTTGTTGTTCTTGTTGTTGCTGGTGGTTGTGTGGCTTACACTTCGCACCTTTTGTTGTGATTTATGTGGCAGTAGCAGCAGTGACGCCGTTGCCGTCGCCGACGTGAGTTCAAAATGTCCGCAGCACAAAATGGCGTAGACAGACAAAAATGAATATATTCGAGCATGTATAGATATGCATTTAAAAAATGTTTTTTTTTAGACTCTCAATTTATGTGATTTTGTTGCGTTAAAAATTGTATGCAAATGTTTTGTTTTCATTTTCAAGCATTTATAAATAAATTTCAAAAAAAGCAAAAGCGAAGAAGAAAATGAAAATAAATAACTAAAGCGCGCTCAAAACATTTAAATATTTAATTAAATTTTTATGGAAACAAACAATGAGAAAACAGAAAACAGCAGCAGCAACAAAATGTGCCACAAATTTCTTTAAAGTAGCGACGGCAAATTCAACGAAAATCGTGGCAACCGCAATGAAAAGTGTACAGCTTAGTAAAGTAAATATGTACACACTTCTATTTATTGCCGCACACACAAATACACAAACACACATACACACATATACATATGTACATAGGCACACAGCCACACACAAAAGCTGAGCTGGATGGCAATGCCCTTTGCCATCTTAGATATGAGACGACGACGACGACCAAGACGGAGACGTAACGGAGACGGATACTAGAGAGATGTTGGCGCGCGTATTGCGCAGATACAAATTTTCAGATACAAACACACACACACCTACAGATACAGATACAGAGCACAAGCAGTCCGCAGTGTTACTTTTATCTCACTGTAACATCTTTTGCTGGGGGCTGCTTTGACTTACATTGCTGTAGATATGTGTGTGTGTGTGTGTGTGTGTGGTGTGCTCCTTGCCCCACTGCCCACTCAGACGACATTTTATCAACTCATTTTTTATCTGACAAAACATTCATTAAGTTTTTTTTTTTTTGCAACAACAGAAAAAAATAGCAGAGCAAAAATCGTTTTCAGTTGGCAACCCTCAAGCTCGGGGGGTGGCTGACAGTCTGTACATTGGGGGTTGTTTGTTGGATCCACACTGCCACCCACCCAACCAACCATCTACTCAGCGATACAGACACACACACCAACACACACAAAAGGAAGATGGCAAAAGATAGCAGAGATCTCGGC